AGGAAGGCCAGCTGTGCGCCCTGCGGGAGGAGCTGCGGGGAGCCGGGCGCGTGGGCTACCCGGGGCCCGCCGGGGACACCCTCCTGCACTGCGCCGCCCGCCTCGGGCATCGGGACGTGCTGGCCTATCTGGTCGAGACCTGGGACATGGACATCGAGGCCGCCAACCGAGACTACAAGCGGCCTCTGCACGAGGCTGCCTCGCAGGGCCACCGGGACTGCGTGCGCTACCTGCTGGGCAGAGGAGCCGCGGTCGACTGCCTGAAGAAAGCCGACTGGTAGGTGGCTGGGGTTCCCGAAAGACCCTCCCCCCCAACTTCTCCGCAGAGTTATGGATTCCCGTGTACTTTTTCGCCTCGACACCATAGCTTCTGAGCCTACCCCTGGAGGACAGATTACCCTCTGTGAACAGTGGGGTACTCTTACGGGATTAAACTGTTCCAGTCCTCTGTTCCAAACCCTTTCCCTTTATGAAACAGTATGGAATACGATCAAACAATGAATTGTCTGTACTACCTATAGCTTGAGCCTCGCCTAGCTAAATGATTACTTCACCAGTAGCATTGTTTTAATTTGTTATTTTGGAATAGAGGTTCACAGAAGGTTGCAAAGAAATGTTCAGGGAAGCCCCGTGCGCCCTTCCCCCAGACTCCCCCAAAGTTACCATCTTACACAGCTATGGTGCAATACCAAGACTAAGAAATTGACACTGCTACTACGGTCGATGTATTTAATCAGATTTCACCAGTTACACAGACACTTCAGTGTGTGTGGTGCTTTATGTGATTTTATCACATGAATAGCCTTGCGTGAGCACCTCCACAGACAAGATATTCCGAGGTACCATCACACAAACCAATTGCATTTTGTCAGACAGACATTGTTTCCAGTACTCGCTATGTGGTGATGAACATCCCAAGATTCATAACATAACGAAGTTCCTGCCTGCAAGTGATTTCTGATCTGATATAAATATGAACCACAGCAGATAGGCTTACAGTTAAATAAAGTGCATCTTGCCTGCTGGGATGAGGGAGTCAGCATGGTTATGTTTTGAGGGCTGCACTTTGGCTATGACTTAGTACAAGACTGATTTTCTTCTGCTGCTGGTGAACTGGTCTAAAGACCATTCCAACAGACATATTACCTCATACATGCCTCAGAACAATTCTGTGGATAGGGAACTGACCTTTCCCCAAAAATCCATTAAAGAGGCAAAGTTCATTTGAGTTTGTATGTGAGAGGTGTAGTTGCAGTGAGAAATTTTTGCCCATTCTCACCTTTCTGGCTTTCTGCAATACCTTCCCTGCTTTTCCAATCATCCTGCCTTGCTCAAGATTTATTCCCTCTGTGAAGTCCTTCTGGAAAGTTCCAGCCTTCATTTATCTGGGTTTCTCCCTCTGTAATTTCTCATTCACTCTCATTGCTACATCCCCCCCACAAAAGTGTTGGTAATTAATTAATATCATAGCAATCTTAGGAGATAGATCCTAGATGTGGCCTTAGAGGTCTGCTAGGTATAGTGAGCTCCCACTGTGTGCCAGACATGGGTCCTAACCCTGGGAATCAGGAGGTAAATAAGACCTGCCCTTGCTTTCCAAGGGTTATGTCTCTCTCGTTTTACAGATGACAAACCAGAAGCTCATGGAACTGAAATCGCTCATCCAAGATCATTTATGAGAAGAGAAAGGATAGATCCACCTCCTTTGATATTAATGTAGTTTATTCCCATAATTGTGAACACAAATCAGTTCAGAAACTTATTGTAATCACACTGTTCCGTTTATGTCACCAATGTATGCTCCTAATGGGTAGGCACTGTGTCAAATGTTCTTTTTTAGCCCTTTTTCAGCACAATTTAATTCATAAATGATTACTGATTGAAGTGAATGGGATAAGTCCAGGGGAGTATCTCTTACACAAATATTATTCAAGACATGGGTGCCTGGGTGGCTCAGTTGGTTAAGCATCTGCCTTCAGCTCAGGTCGTGATCCTGAGGTCCTGGGATCGAGACCCATGTTGGGCTCCCTGCTCAGTGGGGAACCTGCTTCTCCCTGTCCTTCTGCCACTTCCCCCTGCTTGTGCTCTCTCTTTCTCTCAAATAAATAAAGAAAATCTTTTTAAAAATACATTATTCAAGACAAACTGTCTATGGTTTTGATTAACTCTGTCTCAGTTTGGTCCCATAGTCTAAACTTGTCCAGAAGCAGGTTTGCCTCCTCGGTATTCTCCTCCTGCAGGCAGGCACGCCTACATCCTAATCACTTTCCCTTTCTTATTTCTCCCAGTCTCACAGCAGGCAAAGAAGTTGCCAGTCAATGCTGTTTTCCTGCTTCCCAGACCCTTGAGTCCTCTAGGTTTTCCATCTCTGCCAAGGGCATGTGCTTTTCTGAAGACCCAGCTGCTCACTTCTAATGTCTCAGCTGCCCTTCTGTCTGACAGTTTGTCCTGATTGGCCTTAGGACTCCTTTGATGATGGCCTGCACAAGGAAGAATCTGGAGGTGATCCAGGACCTTGTAGAACATGGTGCCAACCCACTTCTGAAGAACAAAGACGGCTGGAATAGTCTCCACATTGCCAGCCGAGAGGGTGACCCTCTGATCCTCCAGTACTTGCTCACTGTTTGCCCAACCGCCTGGAAGACAGAGAGCAAAATCGGGAGAACTCCTCTGCACACGGCAGGTACAGCTGGGAGCTCTGCAGAGACGCAGGCACGGATGTGCAGCCCGCCCACCGGGCCCTGTAGAACGCCTTCTAGTTAGGGGCACCCACAGGGCTGGAGGGGTTTGGAAACTAGAGGGCCAGGAATAAGAGCAGCTTTGGGGTATTTCAGCATATAGTTTGTTCCTACAGCTAATAGAACTTGGCACATAATATGTTCTTTTTTCTCATATTCGTATCTGTCCTGTCCTCCCCAGTTTGTTGGAAAGCTCATTCTGTTCTTTACTGTCTTTGACCTTGGGCAAGGGACTTAGCCTCTTAAGCAAATTTCCTCATCAGCAAAATAATGATGGTAATGATGCCCATATCACAAGGTTGCTATAGAGTTTAAGGAACGGGATGTATATAAATCCCCTGTTGCAGGGCTTGACACACACTGAGCACAGAACAACTAGGTGTGGCTATTTTCAGGATGGTGTTTACGTTGTCATTGTTACCCAAAGGAGGAAAAGAGACAATATTTCCGAATATCCTCAGCAATACTTACCACAGTGCTAATCCATTTAAATAAATATAGGAACTTGTAATGAAGGTACCTGGGCCTGAGTGTCTTTGACTTATCTAGTGATAATGTCAATAAATATGTGGGACACAACTGAGTAATTATTCTTAAATCTGAATTATCTATTCATAGATTATTTTAAATTAGTGAAAAGCAAAAAGTGCTGTGGTGTAAGACAACACAGATATTAAAGACCTCAAGAGTCCAGATCAAGAAATTTAAAAAATGATCTTTAGCCTTCTGGATAGTACATTGAATTAAAATACAGGG